ATCCTGCTCAGCCATGTTGGCTTTTAGGCCCCGTCCACACTACTGCGTTTTGGTTTTAAAATGGAGACCTTTTGCTATCTTTGACTAAAATGGTGAAAACGAAGACCTAAAACGGAGAATTTCTAAAACGCTGGTGTGGACGGAGATCATATTCATTTTAATTCTCCGTTTTTTAAACTAAAACGGAGCAGTGTGGATGGGGCCTTACCTGCTTGTTAACTATCCAGTTCAACTTAAAGTGGCTACAGATCGGATCAGCTTTTTGTTAGCGTAACATAATGTGTAACACTGAGACAGATGCATAGGTCACATTTGGAAAGCCTAACTGAAGTACACATTGGAGCCATATTCAGCCAGTTTGTGACCCCTGGGTATACTGTATGTCAAACATTAGCTGGTCAAAGCCTTGCTAGTAGTTTGCATAAGCCTCATTTACAGATCCTTATCAAAGCAGCACCCTGTAGACCCATGTGTGTGTGTGTGTGTGTGTGTGTGTGTGATATGGGATGCATACATTCCAACCCACCCTACCCCCCTCCCAAACTGCCACTGCCCCATTGTGCTGGGTTTTTTTCCTCTTATCCTTGCCCTTGGCCCTACATGGCCCCTTAGCACCCACCCATCTAGCCAGACCAGTGCTGCTGTTAGGTCAGTTGTGCTGCAGAACACACACACACACACACATAGCCAGATTGACCCCCGCCAATCTGTGTTCGCGGATCATTTCACAGGACAATCTCCCTATCCATCTTTGCAGGGTCATTGTGGACCTGCCCTCAGCTGAGAAAGGAGTTTCATTCACAGGGAAGAACCTTCTTTCTCTGCCCTCTCTCTTTCACTCAGTCCCTCTAGATGATGGCTGGAGGAAGGGAAGCCCTCACACAGATATTCTGTGTGTGTGTGTGTGTGTGTGTGTGTGCTGTTGGAGGTCATATTTAGAATATGAAGAGGCATCAGGACTTCAAAGCTGGACACAGAATGAGGGTGAAGACAAATGTCACCACTTCAACACCCCTGCAACCCCCCCCCCCACCACCACCACACACACAGCTTTGCTTTTAGGTATTAAAGCTCTGGGTTAGTTGAAGGCAGGGCTACAGAATAGTCTGGAACATTTAAGAATATATTATCCAAAGTTAATAAAGTCAGTTTTAACCCTAAGCAACATAATGAGGATAGATATAGTGAAGAGGTAACCATTTGGTTAATTTGGCTAATGGTTACCTTGTTGTTGGCATATGCATGCAGGCCTGTCATGCAGCATATACAGTATATATATGTAAGTATATAGTGTGAGTGTATAGGCTTACACAGGTAATGACAAAAACATAGAAATAGCATAGGGGAGTGTCTGAGGAGGGGGGAGGGGGAGCACACACACATACCAGCCATGCCACTGAATGAATGAAAGGCAGAACTGGGAAATGGGATGAATGAATGGTTGAGACTGAGAAAAGTAATGAATTGATGACAACCGACGTTGCTTTCACACCCGGGGCAATTTCACATTCTCACTCAAGTCCCAGAAAACAAACTACCAAGCACGGAGCTGGTAAATGAATTCCTGTTTTACTCGTCTACAGACCGAAGGTGCTGCACCGACTGAAGGCCTACATCTGCACAGTCAAAGTAAAATACCAGGAGTAACCAACCTGTTGGAAACCTAAATTCCTACTAAGTAAGGTATTAACTCTTAAATCAACCATTAACTTAAGTATTAGTTTGGAAACAATGTGTGCAAAGAGTTATAAAATGTGTAGCAAAAGTGTCATAGCCCTTTTCTGAAACAGCCTAATGGTTGAGAGCTGGAAGGTCAGATGATACAGTTTTACATGTAGTAAAAGTACTGGTTTTAAAATACTGTCTGAAACTGTGATGTGAACCCCTTTATCCGATTTCCTCAATCAGGTGATCAGAACTGCAGCTTTTAGGTTTCTACAGGTAAAGTGGTGGTCTATCAGTCAGCCAGTCCACCACTTTGGTTCAGAATGAAATATTGAGACAAATATTGGATGGGTGGAGAATGCTTTAATTTCAGGTTAAAATTTTAATTTGTTCAGAACTTTGGTTGGTGACCAAATACAATTCCCCCATGCAACACATTTATCCTTACCCACATATGTTTAGCATGCCACCACAACTAAACTAAGACAGTGATCATTGTCAACATGCTGATGTTAGCATTTAGCAATGGGAAGTAAAGCCTCATGTTGCGGCTAGCAAAGTAGAGCTTTATTCTTCTAAACTTTCTCTTTCTCACAGTGCTTCAACCGCCTGTACTACAAGTACTGATTTTTTTTTCTTATTCTTATCAAGAGCCCGACTTGAGAAAAATGACAAAACTATATTCAAGTATCTGGCTTCAGCAGCGTAGTCAAGGAAATTCAAATGGCTGGATGAAGAAATGGAGGGCACTTAGGAGTCAAAAAGAGAGAACGTCACTGCAAGTGAATAAAAACCAGGCCTTGATGTGGTAAATGGCAGCCTTGACATATCATTTATTTTCCAGCAGTGGGCTCCGTGGTGGTGTGATCAGTAGTCTGAACCATTCTGCTGAACTTCAGCTCTCCTCTGTCCCTTTAAACACTTCCTTCCCCCTGTTACCATAAAGCTACTAGAAGAGCCTCACTGCAAAAGTCACATGCTCCTGCTCTCTTTGTTTCGCACAGAAAGCCTCTATCTGTCTGAGCATGAGAGGAACAGAGAGGACAGAACACGGCATTGAGAAAAGTCATATCTGAGGGGAATGAAGTGGATTACAATAACTGTTGGTTTGTGTTTTTCTAACTTTCTGTGTGAAACAGGATTTATATTTTGCTTTCCAACGTGTTGTCATTTGCAAACATGTTAAAAACGAAAGTAAAGAAAAAGGTTTCCATAGTGGCTTGTTCTGACATCATAGGCGATATATAAAATAAAGATTTGTGAAGTTGCATCAGGCAATCAAGAGGGCTAATGATAGTGAAAAGAACTTGATTGATTAGATATTATTTTATATAACTGTAGTATCCCATCGAAAGGAGGTTCAATTGTAAAAAGGGAAATTATAAAACACAAATACATTGTAGAACATAAATGAACCATAACACAAATGTTAAGAATTTTTCTAAACGCAAACTGAAAGTGAAGATAAAAAGTTTGAAAAAATCAACACATTTACAATTCAGTTACATATATTAATGCATGGTGAAAAGATGTTGTGCAAGCAGAATCATATTGTATTTTTAATCCTTCACAACAACTGAGTGGTGATCTAGGCTCTGTCCACAGAGCTGTACACTCTTCAGGCATTACGGTAGTCCACCCAATAGCCCAGAGAGGAATCCTAGGAATGTGAAAAGCTCCAATTCATATTGAAACTAGATTAAAATGTGCACAACTTAACACTGAATGCCGGTTGTAACTTGAGTGACTAAATACATGGCTACTCACAGGGCCTGACTGATACTCTCTATCAAGACGTAAATGTCAGTATATGGATCCTGCTGGATCCATTGATTTGTCCTCTGTCTTACTGAATGGTTTTCTTGCTGTGGGAGATTAAAGCAGAAATGTACATATAAAGCAGTGCGGTCAATGGAAAATGCCAAGTCATTATTTGGACTTTGATAGGGTTATCAATAACCATGTCTACTTTTTTAGTGCAACTTTCCCCCACATGAACAGCTACACTGACATCTGCCTAGTAACAGCAATTCCTCCCATTGGTGCAACTCCAGTCTCCTCCCGTCTGTGTGTCTTTGAGTGTGTGTTAGAGAAACTTTACTACTTGCACTTCCGTCTTACTTCATTCTGAACAGCTTTTCTTGTGTTTTTAAGGAACATGAACTAATCGTTTTTGCTTTATTATCAAAGCAAACTAGACTGTTGTTCAACTCAATTCCAAAGAATTGCAATGATCAATAGCGCATAGGCTACATATGTACCTCTTCTCAATTAGCTTGCATTAGTAACTGATGAAATACTCAAACAAACCATATAAAGTTGCAATGCAACACAGTGGGGGTTCCCATTGACAAATGTTGACTCACCAGTCCTCAAACAAAGTTAGACCTGAGACTCATTTTCTTCAGTGTGGGGGAGCCACATGATGAGGTGTATGTTGTTAACTGCATACAGAGGACAACAATCCACACTTTTATTATCTAACTGAATTAATAGGCTAATGTTTTACATGCCATTCCACATGTCAAACATGGGTTGGTAAGTAGCCCATGAGAAGTTAACCGTGCTTACAGACAGAGCTACAGCTAGCCTTTCATGATATAGCCTAACACACATTATAACCCGTGTTAACTGCAGTAGGAACAGGCTAAATAGGAATAAACAGGCTACACTGTGTGTTGTCCCATGTGCTCACCTCATGTTCAGCACAGTTTGGTCAGAGAGCTGCTGCTTTCATTGGGTCTTGGGGAGAGACGAGGAAGAGGGGTGTAAGCCGTTATCGCCCCCTACCGACGCTAAGCTGCCAGTCTTCCCCGGTCAGCTCTCCGCCACTGGGGACAGACGTTCCCCCAGACTCAGCCCCGGACCTCCCACCTCCTCCTCAGAAGCTACCGGAGGAGGGGTCCTCCCCCCTTTCTCTTTCCTTATATACCGTGTATATAATAGAATCCCTTCCTCGCGCGCTCCCTAGCAGACTGCTCGTCTCTTTGATCCCCCCCCACCCCCCCACCTCAACAACAGCTGACGTCATCGCGCGCACCCACCCCACCTCCTCAGCGCGCACTGGACGTTAAACTTTGTGTGTGCGTGTGCCCGTACGTTTGCGAGCGCGAGGCAGGGGTTTTTGTCTAGCAGGGGGAAGCGCTCTGTGCCTCAGAGGGCTCGCGCACACCGGAGGAGCAACAGCACGCAGCAGCAGCAGCAGCAGCCCAGCCAGAAGAAAGTGATTTAAAATTACGGGACTAACAGCCTCCCGTGTGCTGTAGCCTGTTCCTTCAGTCAGATTTTAACAGGCTGATACTGAAAGTACGACGCTGATAATAGCCTAATATTAATACCAGAAGTAGGCTACTATGGAGGACCAGCTGCTGTGCTGCGAGGTGGACTCCATCAGGAGAGCCTACCAGGACGTCAACCTGCTCAACGACCGAGTTCTACACACCATGCTGAAGGCAGAGGAAAACTACCTACCGTCGCCAAACTACTTCAAGTGTGTTCAGAAAGAAATTGTACCCAAAATGAGGAAAATAGTTGCCACCTGGATGTTAGAGGTTGGTTTTACTTCACTTCAACTTTCCTCCAGTGCCTGAGTTTCGCTGCTAACCTGTTGGTAGCTTACCTACCATATAGCATGAGAAATTAGTCTTAATGTGAAAGTAGTGCGTCTTTGAGAGGTTAATGTCTGATATTTCACTGTACATGTTACATAAACGCTCTGAAAAGTATGTCCTCATGAGTGCTGGGTGGTCCTTTGGCTATAAGAGGAGATAGGCCTATTGGCCACAGAGTGCACTCAGTTTCTGGATAGACTTCTTTTGTTATTGATCATTTCTTAGCCTATATTTTCTAGACGGTTATAATATGTAATTACATGGGGAAAATATTCCAAAATAACAGCAATGTACACGTATGCAGTCTGGCCCGTGCCAGTATTATGCGCCATCTTTGTTGTCGTATATGAGAAGGATTTTAATATCATTAAAAATCTATAATATCAGCAGCAATGACAGTAACTCTGTTAAATCGACCAGAAATGCCCTTATATCATAAGACGGTTACATAGGGACTGCTATAGCTTGTTCGACTGGTATCAACCGGTAAAGTTTGTTTTGCTTCGCAAGAGTCAGTGCTGTCTGTGAAGGTCGCTGAGGAAAAATCACATTTTCTAAAAATCCGAAAGTAGTAAATGCATTTTAACAGTCGGATTTGATAGATTGGATGTTTGTTAACATTAACATGCACTTTTGGATCGAATTGTTTGCGGATTTATATTTTTTATTAATTTCTGAAAGTGTGCATCGGAGAGCCGAGGGGGAGAGTCGCCTGCAGCACGTGAAGAAACCCAGTCTGAGAAATGAATTTTTTAAAAATTCCTCCGTGTCACAAGTCGACACATTTTATGCTGATCCGATCAGGCATTCGATAAGGATCATTTACATGCTAATTGTACACACCCCGGTAATTTTTAAATATTTCTAAATATTTTTTGAAAAGATGACGAAGTTGAAATTAGAGTGAAACTTGCATCGACGCCACCTTTGTGTCTCAGCCAGAACTGACTGCAAACTAATTCCCGACTGTTTTCATTTCTGCAACAGTGTTACTTACTGTGATAAATCGATAAATAGACTTTAGAAGCTTTCGGTTGCATGCGAAAATGAGTTTGCATTAAATAGCGTGTCACGCAGGATATTTGAACTCTAAACTCAGATGAATTAGATGCAAAGATACAATGTTTAATTTCTTTTAATTTATTTTCGGGTGATTGCGGACAGCCAGCTATTGAATGCAAACAGCTGTGCACGGACTAAGACATAGAGCCAGTGGGGGAGAAGACTTGATAATGCATATGAATGGGGGGAATTTTCTTTCAGCATGCGACAGCAACCTCTAAGTGCTTTTCTCAACTCCCCAGGTCTGCGAGGAACAGAAATGTGAGGAGGAGGTTTTTCCGCTGGCTATGAACTATTTGGACAGATTTTTATCAGTGGAGGCCACCAGGAAAACAAGGCTACAGCTGCTGGGAGCTACATGCATGTTTCTAGCATCCAAGATGAAGGAGACTGTGCCCTTAACGGCGGAGAAACTCTGTATCTACACGGACAACTCGGTCCAGCCCGGAGAGCTGCTGGTAATTAAGTTCTGCAGACATGGATGTTTGATAACATACAGTAGCCTACACGAACAGCATGCCCTGGAGACACATGACCAGAATAAACAGCGTTTGCAGTTCATCTGGTTTGCCAGTGTCACTGTGGCCATATGACATTGATAGGCTATTGAAATGTCATAGATAAAATATTTGGTTGAAATAAAGTAGAAATGCTTTGGTGCAGCAGTGTCTTAATGGCTGCCTGTGACTTTCCCATGGTGACCGAAGGCCTCTCTGATTTCATTAATGGTCCCAGAAACTGGCAAGAAAACGGATTGAGGGCGACACCTAGTGGCCATAAGATAGAGGTGCAGGCTGTTGGCAAGGGAAAAGTGAACATGTAGAAGCACAGACACAGTTTTCGTTTGCAGTAACATTTTTTTTATGTGCGGCCGTTTGTACCGCTGTGACTCATCAGAGTGATGTTTTGGATACTTAACCACAATGTAATAATTAACTGGTCCTGTAAGGTTATGCCTAAAAGAGACACACATACATTATTGATGAATGTTAAGGTGACATATCATATTTAACTGATTTAACTAGTAGGATTGCATTTAGATTTATGAGAAAGCTAAAATCTGTGGGGATAAAAAAAAAGAAAGAAGCTGAACGCAGGATGGTATCATAATTGTAAATATTGCCAGCAATATAAGATCTGGCTAAATGCAGGATGCAAAGAAATAAATACAACTGCAGAAACTGAATACCTCTGGTCTGGTCCATCCACAGCAAATGGAGCTGCTGGTTCTCAACAAGCTGAAGTGGGATCTGGCTTCAGTCACGCCTCACGACTTCATCGAGCACTTCCTGTCCAAGCTGAAGATCTACCCGTCCACCAAGCAGATCCTCAGGAAACACGCCCAGACCTTTGTGGCTCTCTGTGCTACAGGTAGGACACAAAGCTTGTGCCTTCATACAAGTAGATGTCTCATATCTTCATGTGTACAGTAAATGGACTTGTTTAGGTGAACATTCATATTTTCTAACAGAATTATGAAGAACAGTTGTCGTGTAAGCATAAAGTATACTCTCGTTATTTATACATTTACACAAAGTCCTTCGTATTTCACTTTGTTTCACTGTGTTCTGCTGCTGTAACCTGTATCTTCTCATCTGTAGATTTAATTCCCCTGTTTCATCTGTATTTATTCTGAAAATAATGTATATGATCGTTGGCAAGTACCACTCCAGTGTCAGTCGTACCACTTTATGTACGTTATATAAGTCACGTGAAGTAAGTTACGTGGAGTTTAACACATGGTAAATGTTGTGAAATGGCTGTAGGTGGTTAGGTTTAAGCAAAGATTGTGGTTTGGGTTTAAATAAGTAGCCTATGTTAAGTCATGTGATGTAAGTAACATAAGTCAGCCACGAAATGTTATTTAACTTTAAAGTTTGAGTAAGTCCACTTTTTCGGGCTCCTGAAAGTCTTGCCTTTGTTTGACGCATGCATCCAACCCCTCCACCCTTTGTGGCGCTTTATACTACGTCACCTGACTTTACTACTATTGTACGGCCACTAGAGGTCGCAAGCTAACAATAAACATAAATGTGAGTAGTAACAAGCTGCTGCATAATCAAGCAACACAGGTATTTTTCTGGTGAGAACCGGCTGGTTATAGAAAATAATTTCTTTACATTAGCCAATTTCCACACAGGCTTCTACTCATTTAGCAATAGAGGAATATAGAGTAGAATCATGGTCAAACTGTGCTGCAGATGTGTATATCTATAACACATGCTTGTGTTGTTTCCACAGATGTCAACTTCATCGCCAGTCCTCCGTCCATGGTGGCTGCGGGCAGCGTGGTGGCAGCTGTTCAAGGTCTTTACCTGAAAAGCCAAGATGCCTCTTTGTCCTCCCAGAATCTCACCAACTTCCTGTCGCAGGTCATTCGCAGTGACCCGGTATGCAAACACACCTTGTCCCAAATCCATTTTTGAATATGGAGCGAGGCATTGATTGCTCCTGATGTCAGCAGCGTGATGGTGTTTGCTCAGTGTTGATTCTGTGATTGCAGGACTGCTTGCGGGCATGTCAGGAGCAGATAGAGTCTCTGCTGGAGTCCAGCCTGCGGCAGGCTCAGCAGCACAGCGGCACAACAGAAACCAAACGCGTGGACGAGGACGTGGACCTTTCCTGCACCCCGACAGACGTCAGAGACATCAACATCTGAAATGACTAACATCTGCATCGCATGATGATCTGATGATCGAGGGAAAGTTGTCGACAGAGGGTAGTGACGGGTGAGCTGGGGAGGGGGTGCCTCATCTGAACTTGGCCTCCCCCCCTCCCCCTTCTTCGCGGCGGGCTGCTATCATGGCTGACACGTCCTTCACATGTCTGCTGTCCCATACTGCTGCCAAGACGGAACAGAGCGCCCCCTGCCTGCCCCGCAGCAAATCCCAAGTCACATTTCCTGCCAGTGTCCCCTCCCATCCTGGGTTAAGAAATGAACACTACAGAGATGTACCAGAGAGAGAAAAAGACACAGAATACTGATGGCCTGCGAGGGCTGGAGTTGAAGCCACACAGCAGACATTTTAGTAGATAGTTTTTCTTATTCCCTCAAATATTAAACTAGGAATCTTTAAATTACAGCAGACTCAACTTGCCTACTAAAACATCCCAAAGTGTCATGTACAGTAGGTCCTTGTAGTCTGCCTTCAGGTCTTCACCTGAAATCTGACTTTTATTAAAGAGTTTAATTTCTCTTCTGTTATGTAGAATGTTTTAGACTGTCCAAGCTCCCGTGTTTGTCTTGTTGCAGTGCAGACATTCATATATCCCTGCTTGCTTGTGTTTAGTCACTTTATTATATATCATTTTAGACCTTTTTGTCAGTTAGTCTTAAACCTCTTTTCCTCCAAGCTTTTTGTTTTGTAAACCAAGTGTAGTGTGAGACGCTCAGTTTTTATGACCCTAGTGGACTGTGGACTGCTGATGTTCAGGTTTGGACAAATGGGATTCTTTATTCATTTGTGGACAACTTTCACATTACCCGTTTCAGCTTGGTGTAGTTTGATAAGATCAAAAGCAGAGCCATCCACAGTCTGTTATGTTTCCTTTCTCTGTGTAGTTTAAGCTAAACCATTCCAACTTTGTTTTCTATAAAAAAAGCACTTTTGGTCAGCGCTGCTGGTCGTCTAAAAAAAATCACAGTGATAAAGTTTGTAAAACAACATGATAATGGAATGGGGGTGTGAGCAGGAGTCTTTTGGTGATGGAGTGAGAGCAGCGCCTGCTGACAGTTGCACCCGGATGGGATTCCTCTAATGGGACAAAAGAATCGACCAGTATGGCAGAAATATATTTTTTAAAAACAAGATGAATGCTGCTTGACATGAGTCTCATAGAGCCAGGCGCTTGCTGTAGCTGCCTTCCAAGTCTCAGATTTGAGGTTTAGTTCAACAAATGTTTCATACAGGCAGAGCTGCTCTTACATTACAATTGTGACATTGGTTTAGTTAAACCTCAGTGCGCAGAGCCAAAAGCTGAAGGTCCACACGTAAAGTAAAAACAAGTATTCAAATAATACTTTATTTTTATATAGATAAACATTATTTATTTTTCTTAGCCTGCATTTTCCTAGTTTGCTAACTAACCGTGGCTCCACCTACTGATACTTAACTATGTCTCCAGAGCAGCTCCGCCATCCAGAACTATTTGTAAAACTAAAGCTCCAGTCTGCCTCTAAATCACCAGGACAACATCTCCTCCGTCACTCCACCTCAGTTCAACAACTGCTCATGGATTCTGGGAAGGCGATGAAGCTAAAAAAAAAAAAGGAAGAGGAGTGTTGAGACTATTGACATGATTTTGCACAAACCTAAAAGACGTAGGCTGCGTTTCTTGGGGACTTGCCTAAAAAAAAAAAAAAGGAGAGCAAAACTGGCTAGAGTACAGAGGGGGGGGGGGGAGGGGACAGGCAGCAGAAGTGGCAAAAAGGGTGAAGGCTCAACAGGGAGGTGTGTCTTAATGCTGTAGAGTTCAAGTCAGGGTTCCTACGCAGGACGGGAATGTTGTGACCAGGTTGATATATATATATATACTTTTATATATGACGATGGACAGATTACTACAAGCAGGAGGGCTCTCTTCAAATCCAATTCTGAAAAAAGTATTGATTTGAAAAGTATGCCCACTGTGTAGGGACCTTGATAATTAGGCTTCTGATTGTACATTAAGGATAGAGAGTAGGAGAAAAACACTCCTTGTATTCCGCTGCTATAGAAAATAAATCCCAGCTACGTGTTTTAAAAAAAAAAAAAGGAAAAAAAAGAAAAGATGATAAAAACGTAACGGATTAAAAACGATGCTTTTCTCTTGTTTGCTGCTACATTTTTGGTTGTTTTTTTATACATATAAATGTCAATATACTGCCATTCTAGGTTTGAATTTTCTCATAGAAAATTGTTATTGACATCCTCATTTGTTTTTATGTAGAGTCTATGTGATCAGTTTTGTTTTGTTTATAATTACGTAATATGATTTTCTGAACTATTCCAAAAAACAAGGAAAAATGAGACAATGTACAGAAATGCTTTGATCCACAATACCTCATGTGACAGTCAAGATTTATCTCTAATTTTAGTCTTTTTATTTGTTTAGTTCTTATTCTATTCTACGCGTTGGTTCAGTGCCTACTGGCTCTGTTCAACCGGCTCGAGGTGAAGCATCCGTGATGGAAACCAGCGAGTCCAGGCAATGCTTTGATACTGGTGCCATAACAGAAAATGGGACATGTATAACTCTGTTGAGTGTTAAGCTGTCTCGGTGAAAGAGACTTTATCCCCCCTTTAGGCCCACTGCGGTCTTCTTTCCTTTCCCATTTTTATATTTATAAAAGAAAAAAAGCTTTTTGCTCCAATTTTCAAACTGTCAGTGAGTTGATTTGAGTTTGTAAATAGATTCAGTGTCTTGCTCGGTAAGCCATAGACTGTTTTTGTTTTGTTTTTACAAATCATTCCACACAGTTGTGTCTACTTCATGCCAGTGGTCTGCAACTGGGACAAACATTGTATTCATATTTGTGTCAACTACACAATAAAAACATGAATTAGATGGATTCTGGAAAGCTGTTCTTGTCCACAGGAGACGCTGATGTTTGAATGTTGTTATTGACAGTGAAAGCTTTATGCCGGAGTCGCCCCTAGTGGTCGACCAATGTAAGTTTTTCAAAAGCCGATAGATGATATGGAATGCTGATATGAAAACAGAGAAAAGTCATGTATAATTCCATTATTCCATGCACAGTACATTCTAATCTACATGTTATCTCAGCCAGTACTGTGTTGTTTTAGATGGACGTTTTATTAATGAATGAAATAGAAAAACACATTGGGTTCTGCTGTAGATTTCAGAGGGTGACTGGTGTGACTTCTTTCAGCTGCATTATACTCTACAGTATAACTATATATATTTATCACAAGCCAGTAATGCTCTTAAATGAAAGTAGCTGTAATTTAGGATGATATATCAGCCCTGTGAGTGCAGGCATCGGCTGATTCCCATTATCTTAAAATGCCAGATATCGGCCCAATTAGTAGGCCTATCACTAGTTGCCTCATTTGAGATGGATAGCAGTAGATGGTAGGTTCTATGAGTTGGTGTTGTGATTGTTAAAAATACTATGCACTGACAATATAACACTATTTCAATCAAATATGGGTTTAACAACCAGACAGACTGACTGATGGGACTTCCATATTATTAAGCTCCATGCAGATGTACAGAGCTTTCAAAAAAAATCTTAGTTTTGAATTGCAATTAATTATTAGCCTATTTATAATTACTTAACAGCATCAGGGTTCTTTTCTGAGGTTTTAGAAAACTCCTTTCTTGAGCCATAGAAGACAACTTTTGACAGACTAAGTAGGTTTCCCCATGTGTGGTAAACTGACCCTTTGTATATACAAAAACAAATGTAGTTTGATTTTTGCCGTAATTTCCTAAAAGAGCTGGGTAATGCAAACGTTACTGAAACAGACGTATAAAGGGAATTTGTTGGGGACTGTTTTCAGCTACAGATTGATAAACAATTGGTTCTCTAGTGAGTATTTCCAACAACAACACTGAAACTATCTGTCTGAAGACAGCTAATGAAAGTGGCAACGAATGCAGTGTTGCGCTGTTAAATTCAAGGTCAGCAGATTTCATTTAAACCTCATTTTGAAGTGAACACGGTTTGGTAAAATATGACAAACCCACAAACACATCTCTGACCACACTGAAACTTTTACGTGAGTAAAGGCTCAGTCAATCAACAACATTTCTGATAATCTTTTAATTGTTTAATCAAGCAAATATATCAAATGTTTAATGTGAGGGTCTGCTGCTTTTCTGCAGTTTGGATTATTCTTATGTGATTGGGAAAAATTGTGGTGAGTTGCATAAAGTAGAAAAGATGTTTCAAATCCTCTGGTCTGGTACATGTTGTAAAAAAGCTGCACTAAAAACAAAAGTGACATTCTCTCATATCTGACATGAATCATGCTGGGTCCGGACTTCTGAGTTCTTATATGACATACATACATATTACAAGCTGAGACTTAAGACACTGAGACCACGTCCACATGAATTTGAAAATGCATCTCTGTGTTTTGGCTTTCCTTCTCTGAAAACATTTAGGACACAATCCAAAATAACTGTTTAACATTAGATTTACATTTATCTGACGCTTTTATTCAAAGCCACTTACAATTGCTATTTATGTCAGTGGTCGCAAGCCGCTGGAGCAACTAGGGGTTAAGTGTCTTGCTCAGGGACACAATGGTGGATTGAACCCAGGTCTCTCACACCAAACACTGAGGTTTTTCTCTTATCCATTGCGCCATCAACACCTGAGGAAACCTGAGCTTTTTGAAAATGCTGATCATCAGCAGTTTCTAAACGTGGACCAGTTCAGGTTCCTGCTCCAGTTATTATCCGGTAAAATGATTTGGTGCTCCTTTTAATGAAAAATATTTTGCCAAAAAGGAACTGATAGCGTTTTGCTTTTTCACCTGTTTAGATGACCAGGCCAACCCACGCCAAAGAAACCAAAACGTTTCTCAGCGTCTGGCTGAAATGGAGATACAACAAATAGATCAGAAACAAGACAGAAAAATGGATGCTAACAAGCGCAGCGGAGCCAACAAAAAACTGCTCAGTTGTTTCAACATGCTGGACGAGCCAACCCTGGATTCAGCGCTGGTGCTTACAGAAAAATAACCTTGTTATAAGAATGCAATGATCTGAACGCAGTGAAGAGCATGTAGTAAGATGAGATACGTATGTTGATTTTTCACTGGTTTCACTGGTTGCCCATCTGTATGTAACAGGCCCCGGGCACAGGTAATTAGAACAGATAGTAAGCCTGTAAAACAGGAGGAACGATAAAGCAGAATACACATGAATTACTTCAGCTGTAAAACCAACAAAGTGTATAGGAGTTGTAAACATTAACAATGGAGCTCTTTGTTAATTAGGGAGCGGGAGTATCTGCAGCCCCCTTTTCGGCTGTCGCTATGACTAATAGCCGTTCACATACTTTCATTTTCATTTTCATCAACATAACGCACAACTATTGAAATGTTTTCTTGACCTGTAAGGTTGCGGGTTCCATCAACTTTGATGGTGTACCGTGAGTCCCACATCCCTCTGACAATTTCTTCTGTCAGTATGGAGCTCATCTTTTCGAGCACCTCTTTTTGCACATCATGGCTTGTGTAGGTTGCATTTTGAGGAATGGATTTGGATATTTTAGCTAGATGATCTTTTCTCAAAGTAGACTCAAATAAGGAGAGAAAAACTCCAGTGTTTGCATTTTCCTCTGTCATATTGGCTGAATGCCATTTGGTTTATAGCTAAAAACACATAGTTTTACTCCTCATGTGTTCTTTAGTGGAAGCATGCTTGTTCTAGTCTCAGTTGCATGTTTCGAATCAGTGAAACCTTTTATGGTGGATGTTGTGTCTGAGGAACTGAATTTGCAACTTGGGAAACAAAATGCAGCATCTGCTTCCAACGAGGATTCAAGCCAATCCTTATCTTTATACCAACTGCAGCTAAAAGAATGCCTTATAAGGCCATACAGCATTTGTCCAAAATCACCTTCTTTATTTCATCAGTGCCAAGGTCCCACACTGAGTCTGTGAATAATTCCACTGGCCTGCTTGGCCCCACCATCACAGGCTCACCAGACTGGCTAGCGCCAGAAAAATCATGGCTTGATGAAGCTGATGATTTAAAAAACGTTCATACATCCATATTTCCCACTTCCCAAATTAATTTAACCTAGCTAGCTAGGTCAGGCCAAACCGAGCACATGTAGTAGCCCGTACCAAGATGCAGAGAGGGCAACCCCTTTTTTTGTAATCAGTCAAACTTCCCAGTGTCATCAAATACCTTTGATACATTTTCACTTAAATACACATCAGAATACGAACAAATATACATATATTTTTAAATAAGTTATTATGCAAATTCTTGGGGTGGGGGCACAGAGGCTCTGTAGGTGGGTCCGGCCCCCTAAGGACCGCTATAGCGCAGGGTCTGGTTAGAAGTGTCCAGCGTTCCACAGGTGCGCCAACTTTTTGACCGTTATGAGGACACCATCTTGGTCTTCATAGTGCACTGCATTCTGCCATACTTGTGCAGTGTGAATGCACACACTCAAAATAGCAAGTGCGAGTTTGGAAGTGCACAAATTGAGACACAGCACAAGCTAAAGTGTGTCCGTACTCTCATTGTCAACGAGCTTACCTGAACACAACAAACTACACAATGGATCATGTATCTTTTGTGATTTTGTACACTTGACTAACCTGTAAAACAGGAGAAAAAATAAAGCTGTGGAAACTTGCTGCCGTTCGTCTGGTCCGTCTTGCCAGAATGGCAAGCTTTCGACAGCTGCATCATCAAGACAGTCCCTGTTACAGCAAGCGGTCTGCGGCCCTCTGCTTCCACCTACCGAGCGACAACCTCCGGGTCTGAAAAGCGAAGCCACTGCAGAAGTGCTAGCTCCACCGCCTTGACCAGAATATGGCCACATCTGCCTAAATGTCAAACTAGAAGCTTCAACAGAAGTCCAGTTATTAAATGAATATGCGATAAGTATTACAAGTAGTGACAGTAGAAGGAACACAAAGTCAAATCAGAGAAATGCTGATATCCATCCTGCAATAGTTTCCAGAGAACTAGTTTTATCGTGGCTCATGCTTTTTCAACGGCCTGCACACACACACACACACACACACACACACACACACACACACACACACACACACACACACACACAGTACTAGGACTGGAGATGATTTTGTAGTTTTTAAGAAAAAAATGCTACAGTTACAAACTACTACAAATCAGGTTTCAACTTGTAAATTCTGCTAATTTCCTCCTGCCCTCATTTAAGGAGTGAACAAGAAAGTTCTGTGTGAAACCTGAAAGTTATTGTTTGGCTAATGATTAACAGGAGTATTTGTGTGTGTTTGTGTGGGTGTGGGTGTGTGTGTGTGTGTGTGTGTGTGTGTCTGTGTGTGACAGTACTCATTGATTTGTTATGCAAGGAATGTCTTTGATGGGGTTTCAGTGTGGAGGAAAAGGCGTGAAAGTCTAATCCTTTCCCACAGGCCTGCCAGCGCCAGCTCAACCAGCAGCAGACAAAGACCCTCAGCACACACACACACTCACACACACACACTACCACACGCCCACATCCACTATGTAACACATACAACAGCCTGCTGTTGTATGTGTTACACCATGCTCACACTATTTTTTTAATCCATGTGCCTATCTTTGTCTACTGATATTTTCACTTGATACACACACACACACACACACACGCACACACATTCTCCTACAGTGTGTAGTCCACTTCAACTGCTATACTAAAAGTATGTAGTGAATATGGTGTAAAAATAAATATTTTATTTTGTTAACAGGATTCTTACTTTGTTCAGCCTGTTAAAGGCAATTGAGAAAAAGCTGACAACATCCAAAATAAAGGAACAGTCTGGCTTGGGTTTGTATTATAAAGTAAATACTACTAATTTTATGTCTGTGATAGTCTGACTGCTGAGT